GGGTGATGTGGTACTTCTCTGGAGTATGGTAACTTTCCTTTTATCAGTAGGATAGAGGTGTTCAAGATCAAATTGCATCTTTCATAAAAATATACGAATTCCTGAGGGATAGGACTGCAAGACTGCTTTCAAGATCTTGTAGCACCTTGTGGTAACTGAAAGATCTATTTAGTCTGACTTTGGTTTATGTATTTTACAAAAGTTAGCTGTTAGAGGGCTAAGAATCATTAGCCAAACTTTGTTAATGTGTTTATTAGAGGGTATGTTTGTGATCCCTGAGATGGTACTCTCCTCAGTTTCTGAAGTCATGTTCACTCATGCTATCCTTATGAGATTAGGTTCCCTTGGTGAACTAAATGAGTAGCAATTCTTGGAATTTTTGTTTTCGTTCCATCCGGTACAAAGCTGTACAGTCAGACTGCCTTCTCCTCTTACAGGTTGTATTTGTAAGTTTGTGCCTGAACATGATTTTCAGGGAGAATAGAGTAGGAGCAAGCTCTCAGCTTTTCTGTGATGCATCTCATCTGCTAGGGCTGGGGAGAAGCCCAAGTAGATAACAATTGCATACAGCACCATTTTTGTATTTAAATGTCAGCATGAATCCAAACAAAAGTCTATGGGCATTATTGAATTAGTTCCTGAAACTATATTTTGAGATAAAATCCATCTAAGCTTTGCATATACCAAAGAAAGAAAATAGTCGGGCTAACCTGCCAGTATAATGGAACTCTTGCAGTTTAATGATGCACAAAAGCAAGGCAGACATGTTTTGGAGCAAATTTCCAGATAATTTTGGCATATTCAATCCTATTTTTTATTGAGATTTACATAAAAATAAATCTGCACCATCCTTTTAAGGATACTAGTCAGGATGTTAGCGAGTTTAGTAAGCAGACTTAATGAAAATTTGTAGAAGCTGTAAATATGTACCAACAGATTGGCACGTTATCCTTTTACTCCTCCTTGCAACTCAGACAATTTTTTTATTATTATTATCATTTGTATTTTTAAATCAGTGTAGCTGAAGAGTCAGAGAGGCTGGAAGTATTAACACATTTAGCATTTAGAAGAAAGCAACAGTTTATAGCATGAATGCTTGCTTTTGGTTTGGTTTTTGTTTTTCGTTGGTTTTTTTTGTTTGTTTGTTTTGTTTTGGCAGAAAACTATTTTAGCTAAGAATACTAATTCCAGTATTTTATTATTCCTGTTTCTAGGAGTCAGATAGGCTTTTTATTAGCTTTTTGCTCCATCCTTTGAAAGAATAAAAACTGAGATGCTCTCATGGTTTCTAAACTCTTGATCGGCCAAGGTTAGCCTTATGGTGAGCCCTTCCTGTATTTAATTAATAAAGTGCAAATATCTCATACCTGTTAAATGACCCCCTTGCATCTTCCATCCCTTAGCAAGTTCCTCCTTTCCTACAATTTCCTTTCTGAGATGACTTTCATTTTTCCTGCAATTTTTCCTGTTTCCCTGGGATGCTCTATAACAATCAATCTTGTCCTCATAGGTCTGGTTTAAAATTCTGCTTTCTGTTACAGCTTAAAGATGTAAAGCTTAGGGTGCAGCACCATTTTGATCACGTGTCTGAGGTGTGAGCAACACTGTGCTGCAGAAATGCCAAAGTCATCAAAGCTTTACTGCTACCTCCCTTCATGGAATCTTCGCTCAGTATTTTATTTTCATTTCTGCTTTCAGTGAATATTTAGTGAGCTCTGATTACATAATTGAATTTGATAAACTGATGGTATGTGATTGATGAGAAAGTCAGGAATACAAGATTAGAAGATAAAATTACTTCAAGGGTTTAAGTAAATCTTCCAGAGAGCTGGGGTAATTTATAAAGCATGTTATATTCTTTACAAAAATATTCCTATAGGTCTATTAAATTTTAGTTTCTACCAGAATTGGACTGAATTTTGAGAATAATTTTCATGTAATACCAGCTTGACTGGGATCTTTTAAATTGGAGATAGCTCTGAGTGGGTTGCAGCATCACTGGGTTTGGAATATTTGAGTAGGAAATGTAGGGCTGAATGAAAGACTTGTGGCCAGCAGTCTTTGTCTTTCAAATAAATCATTTGTTCTTGGAAAGACATGTTAGAATGCGTAAGTGGATACTTCAGAGTAAAATAATGAAGGAAGTTATGCTGCTTGAGTCTTTAAATCACTGAAAAACAGGATCAACAAATTACTCGGGTAGAAGTTTATAGTGCAGATACCAGCTTCATTGTAATCTCCCTAAATGGCTCAACTTTCTTCAGGAAGGAATAGTTTAACAAGCTCATTTCATGAGCCTCTATATACTAGCAAGTAAATGTCATTGTTTTCAGGGGACTCGTCACTAATTGTTTCAATTTACCAATTGGACTCTCTTATAATCCCTTCCGCTAAATACGAGCACAACTCCTTGCCACTGCCTTTTCATCTCCAGAGGAAGCCTGACACCTTTAATCTTGCAAGGGCAGAATGTCTGTCTCATAACTCCTTTGGGAGACTCCCCAAAATATATGTGAAGCCTCTGAAAGGATTTACCATTTCCTCACTTATTTAGAAATATCTTTGTTAAAAATTGCTTTTTGCTCTGGGTAAAAGAACTGCATTTCACACTAATGTCGTCTAACTCTGGCTTAATTTTTTCTTTATAAAGTTTTAAAATATTGTTTGATTTTACTAGTTAGGAGAAAATGGGAATTGAGATAAGACTTCTTCACGGTATTTGCAGTCATTAAAACAAAAAAAAGAAGCTTTGTAGAATATAATCTCAGTCATGTAATAGAGTGGAGAAGTGCAAAAAACATCTTTGGTTTGCCTGAGACTATCTGCTAGTTTGGAATTATTCCTATTTTCTTATACATTGAATTGTCATAACTTCCTGTATATCCAATTTAAAGAAAATATTACTGATCTACGCTAGCCATTAATTTTCAAACAAATTGTTTAAAATGCTACAAATCAGAAAAGGGCCTTACCTCAAAATACACTTTTTAATTCAGTTTGTTAGGTCAGATTTTGAGTAATAGTTTATAAGAATTGCCTTAAGATGATGTAGGTTTTTTTCTGCAGAAATAACTATGTCTTTCTGAACTTAAATTCTAAAAACTAGGGTGACAATTTGTCAATACAAATCATCAAATGTGTACGCAGCTGATGTTCAACTTTATAGCCAATTGTAGCAAATAGTTTGGCAACGGTCAACCTGTGACTCCTCGACCAGAGTCAGCTGAAGTGCAGCTGCTACCCTGGGACTGTGCGTTAGGCTGATAATGAGTCCGTGTTGCCATGTGGCCTGCTGAGTAATAAAAATTCCCTGATAAGGGGCAAAGTGAAAGATAAGGGCTTAGAGAGGTTGACATCACCAGGCTGAGCTGCATACCCACTGCTGTCCCAGTCTTCACTGGAACACTAGGGCACCTTGAAAGCCACTGACACCCCTCGCCCTGAGCTCCTTCTTCCCTAGTGTGTGTGGTTACTGTCTTGTGGCTATCAACTGTTAAAGATTATAGTATGTGACCTGTGGATTCAAAAATTTCGGACAGCCTTGAATAGTACATGAGGTCACTACCCCATAAACCATAAAAGATACCTTAAACTCTTTAAATAGCAGGTATAAAAATACCTGAGCTTAATCTAAAAGAAGTTTTAAAAGAAAGATTAGCAATTTAACTGAATGGTTAGTTGCACTGGGACAACATTTTTGTTTTTTGGTTTTGTTTTGTTTTTTTTTTAATGTTTTTTGTTTTTTGTTTTTTTAAAGATTATAGTATGTGACCTGTGGATTCAAAAATTTCGGACAGCCTTGAATAGTACATGAGGTCACTACCCCATAAACCATAAAAGATACCTTAAACTCTTTAAATAGCAGGTATAAAAATACCTGAGCTTAATCTAAAAGAAGTTTTAAAAGAAAGATTAGCAATTTAACTGAATGGTTAGTTGCACTGGGACAACATTTTTGTTTTTTGGTTTTGTTTTGTTTTTTTTTTAATATATAAAATACATACACACACCCCCCCGCACTCCTAAAAAGCAGAGTGAAGTAACATCTACCTATTAAATATTATTCCGTATTTTATATTAAATCTCTGGCTTTGAATGTAACTTGTGTATTTTATATATGTACATAAACATGTTGATTGTAGAAGGTATTTGTAAAATTCTAAGATTAAGTCTGTAGTTCCTACATAGTTACAAGTAGAAATTTGATGCGTAAAGTGTGAAAACCTTCATCTTCCAGAGGTGACAGGGGGTGGGTCTCCAGGAGGTGTAGACTTGTAATAAATCTGCATTTGAGTGGAGCTTTGGCAATTTACCAGTCGAGAATTTTGCTGCTTGGAGTATTTTGAGCATTTGTGATCCACGGGAGAACAAGAGTTTGAGACTCCATGTGACCCTTGAACATTATTGAAGTACCTTAATTCAAAATCTGTTAGTGGTTTCAGGTAATATAATTTAACACATTTTTGTTGGCAATAGCGTTGAAAAACACATTAATCTTGCGATTTTGTGAGGTGTTTTTTTCTAAACTCTTTTTTCTATCAAAATTATTCTTTTACCCTGAGACTTCTCCTGCTGTGATAATCATTTCTATCCAAGATTACTCTTCTGGTTTCTATTCAAGAAATAAAAAAAAAGCTTTGAGTGGATTTAGGCCTCACAGAGGAGAGGGAAAAAAAAAAGCCAATAGGGCTGTTCGCTGCCTGCCACAGTAGACAGTGCTGAAATTCTCATATGTATAAACAGTAAACATGGACAAAAGCTTGTCTGAGTGGGCACTTCTCTTCTAAATAAGTACCAAGGACTAAGGTTATCAAGATCTTGTGAATTCTGCCTCTAAAGATAAAGCTTGGTTATGAATATAACAGTGTAAGCCTTAACTACTGAATCACGTTGTCTCTTGTTTTATGATGGCCATTTTGAGAAGAAATGAGGTAAATATCAGTGGCTTATACTATACTTGCTTAAATAGCTTACAAACCCATTTTCTCTCTGTATTTCAGATGATGTTGCACCATACTTCAAGACTGAACCAGGCTTGCCCCAGATACACTTGGAAGGAAATCGACTTGTACTTACATGCCTTGCCGAAGGCAGCTGGCCCTTGGAATTTAAGTGGTTACGCAATGACAGTGAAATAACCGCCTACTCCAATGAATATAAGTAAATAAAAGCTATATAATAGCCTTCTCTAAGTGCAATTGCAAAAAAAACCCCGAAACAAACACCACCACCAGTCACCCAAATCCCCAATACCTCAAAACAGCTTTGTAGATACTGATACATTGACAATGCTTTTTATCATGAAAGAAGACTGTTTTTTGTAAACAAATAAGATCTCTATGAGAGAATCTCCTTTGCTAAAAATGATATTTCACACTTCAAAACAAGGGTCCTAACATAGAATTTTTAAGTACCAAAAATGCTTTTTGCTGCAGATGAAACCTTACATGTAATTGTAATAAATAGCAGGCATATTCCTTAGCTAAATGTTACATATGATGTGCTACTCATCCTGGAACAAAGCTAAGCTCAGTGGGACTCTTATTTTCAATAAGATCTAGAAGAATGTAGTCTATCTTAAATTGCATATGAAACTTTCGGTTTCACTTATGAGAATGCGAAAATTAATCTTACAGTTTAACAAACTGTTCTTCTACTGTGATGCACTTTGCTCCCAGGACCTCACAAGACATCCCACCAAGCAAGAGAAAAACCAGACTGTGGCTAATCAGAGCTACAGTTTTACTGATGGGCAGCAGTTGGCTGGCCAAATATCAAAGTGTAAGACAGCCAAGTTTTGTCTGCTTTTCTTTAAAGGGAGCATTAACTGGGTCTCCCCTATGCAACTGGCAATTTTTATAACCTTATAGAAATTTAATATTTATGCAACTTATTTGTTGCTTTGAAATTTTCTTGAAATTACCTAGTGAATTCAGAAGTTATAAGGAGTGGGTATGTGACAGACAGAGCCCTTGTATAACACTTGTATCTTTAGCAAACCAAGCTAAATATTGCACTTTTGTAATTACATTGCTAAAGGTAGGGAAAAGTTGTGCTCCATCACTATAGATAGACAGTACAGTATAGTTTAGTATAAAAATGCAGATAATGATATCAAGTTGTATATTGTTACACAAGGTAGTCCATAATTTCTCAAAAATTTTCATAAATGTAACCTAACATAGTTCTATTTTTTGTATTATTTACATTTACAGAGCAGTAGGGAAAAAAGTCCCTTAAATAACGTTGTAAAACTTTTTTGGGTTATTTAGCACATAAAGTATTTGGCAACTATGTTTCCAACCAAACATATAGTTCTATGTGAACTCTCCTAGAAATTAAAGACTTTTGATTGAGCCCTGAGTAATTGCATCTATTAATGGTTGCTGTTTTCAAGCCTTGAGATTCGCTGATACCTCAAAATGAGCCATACACGCATATAGAAGGAATTTGTGAATACTTTATAGAAAAATAAAAAAATCTCTAATAGCATAATTAATCACAGAAGGTTTGAGCGTCACTTTGTGTAAATGCCACTTGTTTTGATCAACAGCAGCAGAGTCTGTTGTAGTTTCTTGGTAGAAGGAGCTGACAACAGCTCTTAACTGCATAAGATGCTGAGAAAGTAAGACAAAGAAATGGTGTGGGAGGACAAAACACATGAACATGGAATCAACAAAAAGCAAAGGTTAGAACTCAAGCTTTCTAGATGTGCTAGTCACTGAGAGACTTACATTTCAGGATACTAGGAGAAACCTGAATAAGGACGTGTGACATTTTGAAACTAAGATCAGAATGCCATGGTATTTCTTAAATAAGCGCACACCCTAACACAAAATTATAATTTTACTGTGTATTGCAGTATGTTAGAATCAGTGTATTGGAAGACCTTTCCCAAGCTGTATGTATACATACCTGTATACAGTACCTTGTTTCTTATTATTGGACTTAGTTGACTAGTGAACGTCAGGTCATGATGGAAGCTATATTTATTAATTTTGCATTTTTTATATTGTTCTTGTTTCTATTTCTAATTAAAACATCTGCTGCAGAGGTGATTAAGAAGATAGGAAACTACTGGTTTATAATAATAAAATAACATTGATAGAAAATATTAATTTAGAAGTTGCAGTCCTACTACTACTACTATACCACAGTCAGAGATAAGCCAAACAGGATTTTGATTCTATAGAAATGCAAAGCTTTAAGCTTCTGAAAAGGATTATATGGCATAGGTGCATTAGGATGAATGAAAGCAAGGAAAAGATATGCCTAGACATAAAAATTCCAGTTGCAGAATTTAAACTTTGACCCCATAATAGTTTGCTCTGCAGTTCTCTTGGGTAAATACTCTGTTTAAATGCATGAATCTTTCCTGTGTAAGTGACTTCTGCTGCAATTTGAATCATCAATCAAAGATTTTTGGTAATTGATATTACTTAGTGTGTCTCAGTTAAAGTAATGTCTATATTGTAACAGGCTGAAAATATTCAAAGCTTATTATAACACACCAAGTGAGTAAAGAACTAATTGGAGTCTTTGCATTTTGACATTGGTGACCCTGAATGAACAGCTTTTCTTTGTATAACGATGCTGATTATGTGCACAGCCTGGCTTTTATAGTGACTGTGCATACACTAGTTTGTATTAAGAATTTATATAACAACCTTATAAATTCTTTGTGATCTGAGATACATGTAATGAAAACAAATCAATATTGCTGACTGCAGTAGCAATTTCGGTTAAGTCTGTAAGTTAAGTCTTTAAAGTTCAGGCAGTGACTTTTTTCTTTTTCTTTTTTTCTTTGTTTTCTTTTGAATTAAGTTCTGGACCAGGTGTGTCTTCCATATTTGCTTTTGTGGCCTGAAGATATTAATGTATTTGAATTTAAGAAACTAAGGTTATGTCTAAGCAGCAGTACACTTTCCTCCCAAACTACTTAAAAGCATCTGATTATTATATTGGTGTTTTTAACATTGGACATGTTTTAATTTTATTCTGTATTAAAAAAGTTAGATCAGTTGATGCATTAAGTCCCTTGTTAAAAAGTTTGAATAGATAATAATTTGTATGACTATCTAATAAAATAAGTTTGGTTTTAATTCTGTCTCCACAATTATGGCTATTAAAAACCTGTAGCTTATAGGTTCACTTTTAACTCTTAGAGCATTTAAAATTAAAATGAGGGTGTAAATTTGAAATTAGGAATGAAATGTAAGCATTAGCATTTCTCCTTAGAAGTTTGATACCACCTCATCCTTAAACTCTGACTCATTGCAATCCTGGTGATGGAGCATGTTATGCGCTGGAAGACTTCCCTTGAAGCTTTCTTTTTAGCTTGTCACTTTACATCTTTCTGTGGAAGCTTTCTGAACAGCCAGTTTCTGGTTGGCTGTACCATTAAAAACAGAGAAACTGTCTGGTCTGACTTTCTAAAGTACTTGCACAGATCCCCAGAAACCTTAAGTAGCCTCCTGGCATCTATACAAGAAGATCTTCTACCTTGAAAGTTAGAGTGTAGACAAAATTAAAGCAAAATTATGTCTTGTCACTGTAAAAAATTGTATTAACCTTTGATATAAATTCATTCCGTGGAAGAAAGTCTTACTTTGAATTTAGAAAGCACTATTTGTATCTCTTCTTGCATATCAGAAAATAAGTCGGATGGTGAAAGCATAGCACAAAAAGCAGTATTTTGACTGTTAGGTCAATAGAAAAGTATATTTTTAAAAAAGAAATCAGATATATGAGGTGCATAAAGACTGTTTAAAATTGTAAACGCAGAATTAGAAATTCCGTGAATATCTATTTATCTCTCGCACAGGTTTGTGATTTTCAAGTTAGTCTCAAATAATGTAAACATATGTTGTATCTCTTTTTTTTACTTTTGTTATTTAATTCTTCTAATTTTTCTTGCCTTACCTGCACATTGTTACCCAGTAGGTCCACTGAGAAGGCAGCTGCTCAGTAGGTTTGGGCTGTCTTGGAATTTCCAAGGTAGATGGGATTTTCACTGTAAACTTCTAAAAGATTTTCTTGTCTTCAGGCAACATATTAAGAATGTTTCCTGCTGAAACATTAATAAGTCAGAAAAGAAAACCAAAGTAGGACACTTCTGATCTAATTGATTTGTTTTGTCCTAGTTGCAGAAAAACTAAGTTTGCATTACTGTCTTAGTACAGATGAATACCAAAGAAAGAAGCCTTTAATTTTGGCTCTATGTAATAGACAAGCAGAGGAATAAATGTTAGCCAAGTACAACACTAAATCTTTATGGGAGGAAGAAAAGCTTGTTAAGCTATAAACTATTTGGTAAAATGAACTGTAAAAATGAATTGTCAATATTTATTTCTCAGAATCTTTAAATTTTATTCTTTTTTTTGGTAATGATGTTTTGCAACAATCGTCTGCCTGGCAAAGGAAATTATTCTGTAAGGAACTAGGGAAGCCTTATGTCCCATTGATTTCTATCCTATGCCTTGTATTTTCACCTATTTTCTCACTCTTTTTCCTATGGCATACTCATCAGGCAAGAGGCAACGTGGCTAATTCAGAGTTATATACTCACTGGCCAGCGAGTATTTGTGTGCTGATTGTTGGGTTTACTGTAACTCCCAAACAGAGCACCGTTTTGAGTCTTCCTTATCTTCCCAGCACAAATTGTCATAATCCCTGGAGAAAATTTGCTGGTTGCTCCAAAGGAGGTCAGGAGGAGTCAGCTTAGGCGCAGAGGCAGACAGACAACACAATTGCCACCAACTCGTATACTTAGGAAGCCAGGGTCTCCTAGGAATCACAGTAGATTGCTAAAATTTGTCCATGGTGTTGAGCTCTGTTTTAATTCACTGTATTTGGTTGTCTGACCTATTTGCTATAGTGTGTTTGTTTGTAATTATAATGAAGTGATTATGGTCTTAATTTATCACTTAAACTGGATTTCTTCTACCTCCTTTGTTTTTATGCTGTCTGATCCTGTTCAGATATTAAGCTCTGTATGTGGCTGTGTATAGTATATGTGAGTATGAGAAGAGATGCTTTCTTTTAGTGGAATTAATTTTTGAAGATTAAAATTCAGCAGTTTTATTTTTCCTTATCTTTTCATAAAGACTTTCATTAATCCTACCTTAATATCTCCAGAAGGTGACCGGGGGAATATGTGCTTTGATTAACGTTTGTTTAATGTGGGATTATCTATATTATTCGTGTGTTTTATTCACATTAAAACTGTGCCTATCAGCTCATTTTCATAGTTGAATGAGGAAGGTGAGCATTAGTGGACTAAGTGACTTTTTAAGTACAGCGAAGGACAGAACAAATACAACGTACAGTGCACTGTGTCTTTTCCAGTATTCTTCTGAGTTACAGTGGTCACGCAGTGTAGTAAACATCTTTTTTTTCATTGGAGAGCTTTGATATTTCTTGCAAGTCTTCCTAATGCCGGCGTTTAGATTGTAGTCTTCTTGTGCCACCTCTGAACAAAATACCAGGCATCTTTGCCTTATGAATGAGGGTAGATAAAACTAGGGAAAACATTTAAATCTGTATTTCAAGAGAATTTGCGGACAACTAATTAGTATTTATCAAATGTAGATCTTAAGACTGAAAGATATTTTATGTGTTTCAAGTATTTTTTTTTTCTTCTATATAGTACAGACAATATTGTAGCCAAAGATCAGAGATTTTATGAGAATGCTGTTTGTAAGAAAAAATACAATAGAGGCATTTGAGTCAATATGTGAAATATTAGAGGAGAAATAAGAAATGCCACATAAAGTAGCATTGATCTGCCTTTAGGAATAGGTGCACTATAATTCTGCATTTTGTCTTATAGGTACATCATCCCAGCTTTGCAGAGGTCTGATGCAGGCTTTTATCAGTGTGTCGTACGAAACAGGATGGGGGCATTGCTGCAAAGAAGATCTGAAGTCCAAGTGGCATGTATGTTTGAATTGAAGTTATTCTGTGATTCAGTAGCTAACCGATTCTTTTTGTGGGTAAAAAACCAACATACCAATAACATTTGCTAGTCTGAAAAGTTATTAGATATCATATTTAATAAATTTTAAAATTGCATTACAAGAAGTTTCACACTTACTCTAGTTATCTTCTGGGAAACAGTTCAAAGCAGTGCAACATTCAGTCTTTAGAGCAAGCTTTGAGCTGTTCAAAGCCATCAAACCGAGATCGTTTGGAGGTAGCTGTAGCATGAGAAAACTATTATACCTTTCCCCAAATACGCAGGGATTAAGAAAGGCCATATAGCACAAAATAAACAATCAATCAAAACAAAACAAACAAAAAAAAAGCCCAGAGGACAGCAGAGGATATCTGAAAGAAAACCTTATGGTGGAGATAGCTCCATCAAGATTTTGGATCATAATTCTTGCGATACAAAATAAGCAGTTGTTACACAGTGAAAACCTTGCTAAGCAAACTTTAAAAGTCTGTTCTCAACACCTTTCTGAACCAAACCCTCCAATGTCTGTACCTCTTTAGTTTGTACTATGCAGAATTTTTCAGAGTTGACCTCTGACTTGATATCTAACTTCCATTTGGAATGTTAAATTGATTTTCTCAGGAGTTAGTGCTAGTTAACATGACCTAAGAAATGATCGCATACTCTAATTTTCTTTTTTTTGGGTTAACATATAGAAAATATAATCCAAATAACTTGTTTGCAAATAATCATAAAATTTGGCCTTATTCTTTTTTCAAAGTAAAAACATAAAAAAAATTTAAAAAGAAACAGATTTGTATACTGTGTTTTAGCAACCTGATACATGGATCAAATTTCTCTTCCTCAGGGTCAATAACTGGAAATTCAGTAATAGTAAATGTCACTTGGTAAGTGGAGTTTAGATAAATTGAATTATTTATTAGAAACCCAATTCCAAGGAACTGATTCAAGTTAATCACTATGTCATGAGGGAAATTACACGGAATTTCCTGTGTTTTAAAATAAAAACAGTTGTAAATGATACTATGCAACTTTTGGTATCATGTTCACCATTTTACTGTATTACAGTAAATTATCTTACTATATCTGTAATGTCAGTAATATCAGTAATTTGATGTTTGATCTCTCAGTGGTATTGTTTCAGAGATGCTGGGAGCTCATGTAAAAATAAACTGCTGCTAAAATGGGGTTTTCCTTCCCTGCCTTCTACCAGCCCTTTTGCCCCTGCTGTATACTCCTCCTAGTGATCTTGTGCTCACTCTGACATGTGTCAGACCTTTGCAAGTACTTTTCTGAATATTCTTCTTCTGGTTTAGTGAATTATATCAGGTCACAGAGGATCTAGTGAAAGCTGGTGCGAGTGAGTGTAACTGAGTGGGCTGAGGGACTTCCAACAAGGTTAGAAGGGGAAGGTGAGGGTAAGATGCTTCTCATTCTGCAGCAGTGAGCCATTAGATTAGCCTAGATGCCTCTGGAGTTGCATCTACAGGTGTGGTTTCAGGGGACAAAGGCTTTGGTAGCAGTACCAGAGAAACATACCCATTTTCTCCTGCATCCCATTAATCGTTCCCGCTCTTGTATTGCAATGTAGCACACTATCCCTTTAGGCTCAGCAGGAAAACTTGTTTGTGCAGCTGTGGACTGGGAAACTTCTCCAAAATTTAAAAAAAAGCAACAATTATTTTGTAGGGTTTGTTAAAATAATTCTTTCCCCCCCCCGCCCCCCGTCTGATTCCCTACGCAGCTGTACAGGCAGTTGTACTGGCGTAGTGGAGGGAGCAATTCTTGAGGAAGTACTTGTGGGAACGATAGTGAGGAGGCGGCACAGGAATACTTTACCTTGATACTGCTGCTAAAGAGTTTTGTCTCCTGAAAAGACAGCTTTATTCCCCTCTGAATGAGGGAAAGATTTGCAGTGAAGTGTTTTGTGTCTCCAGGCTTTTTTGTGTGTGCGTTTGGTTGTTCTTGAGAGAGAAAGACGTTTTAATTTTTTTCCCTCATTTAATTTGTAGTTCTGCATTGCTGAACAAGGCTAAAAAGCTATCTCTTAAGACTTCTCTGTCTCAATTAGGCAGTCTGTCTGTCTGTTTGTTTGTTTGTTTGTTTTCACTGATAAAGATATTGAGACAAAGCAAAGCAGATCTTATATGACTTGGGAGACCTTTGGTCTTGAACCTATAATGACCTATATGGCTTCTATAGTGAAACTTGTCAGTCAGACTTGCACTTTATTCCCACAGATTAAAGTGTTCTACAAGGTTTAGGTATCTTCTTTCTCCTCTACCCATGGTAGCTACTGATACCATGTGATTGTTTTCTGTATTTTAACATTTTTGATCTAAATTAATTGACTTAAGCTGTGTGGACATAAAGAAGTACCTGATATTTTGCCATATTTTACTTTTTAGTTATTCTTGAAAACATATCGGAAAGCAGCATTCCAAGGGGTTACTAAAGTCATCTTATCCCGTCATCAAGAGTTACAGGGAACTGTATGTTGGATGTTTAACTCAGAAGGGTTCACAGGAAATGAACTATTTTTGCCACTGGATAGAGGATGCTTCCCAATACACTTACACTCAAGATCTCCAGTGAAAAATTGAAAGGCACGAGTACAACGTGCATTGAGAAAGATCTGAGGTATTTTCCATGTCCTAGATCTCTGAAGTAGCAGAGAACTAGTTAAATAATTTAAAAAATGTTCTCAACACGTGCTAACATATTACTTAACTGAACAGGAACAGATATTTGTGAGAAAACTGCTGAGTAAATCTTAATTACAGAATGGGCTTAAAAACTCTTGGACTGTGAAGACTAATCATATGACAGTGAAGTTAATTAGATCCACCTACGCGGTTTGAAACTTCTTTTCAAGTAGATGATTTGATTACAGTTGTAAGAAATATGGAGCAACAGAGGAAGTACAATGCTGATTATGTCTGAATAAATAACTTGAAAATCACAAAGATGATTAAAGCTTCTTTAAAATACCATGTGTTTTTAATTTCTGCTCTTGTTCTGTCTCTTCTCGTCTCCTGCCATCCACAGACCTGATAGTAGTCTTCTATGTTTCAATGTGCTCTGCATCCCTCTCTGCACCAGAGAACTTGTAAAGAACCCTGTGGTCCTTAAAAAAAAAAAGGGGGGGGGGGGGAATTCAGTGGCAGAAACCAGAATAGTTCCCTCTGTGTGTGAGTTTCTTGGTTTAAAGCAAATTAAAATGCATAGAAGTTCTTTGGAGGGTGAATAAGTAGGAGCCTACAGCCCTGTTTATTTTAATGGATAGGAATGTGATATAAAAGGCAAAAGAAAAACAAGACGAAAACGTTCACTGAATTTTTACAAGGACTCCATAGATCCATAGATACATGAACTTGTCTGTGAAATAAAACCTTCAGAGACAGAGGTTCTGCAATTGTAGTTTTCTTTCTTCCAATAAAATTTTTGTTAAAAGCTGCTCTTTAATACTACTGATGCCTTTGTAAATGTCAGAGATCTAGATGCACTATTTAAATCGTAGTATAGTGCAACTAACAGCTACCAACATGACTATAGCCTTGTTATTTTGATATCCATTTGGGTATAATGGCTTACTCACATGGATCTAACTACACATTGGTTTGACTACAAGTGATAACAGCTGCTTGTCTATTTGTGTAGCTATGGATAAAAGGATAAAAAAAAATTGGTGACCAAAAAATTGATAAAATTATATACACCATTTGCATTCCTTTGCATTGCACAGGAATTTCTTTTATATTGTGCAAGGATTTATTTAAAAAAAAACCAAAAGAAACCACCATTAAAATGTCACTTTCCATTAAAAACACTCAGTTATTGCAAAAGAACACTGAGGCCATGCGGTACTGCTGACTGATGCACTTCTTGTGTGCACTAGCAGCACTTGGATTTGCCTTATGCCTTATGCTCATCCAAATCTGTATTCATCAAAACTGTCTCATGATCTGTAGTGTCATATTGACTAATTATAGCAATGCCAATGACTATTGTACAACACAGTTATTTCTCTGTCCGCTGAAAAGAAATGGGGAGAGAGACAAGAACTTCCAGGACTCTTAGTATAATTTTTTTCTTTGCAGATATGGGAAATTTCATGGACACAAACCAGAGAAAAACAGTGACTCAAGGACAAGCTGCAGTTCTGAACTTCCTACACATACTCAGCTACCCAAGACCACAAGTGACATGGTTTAGAGATGGGCACAAGATTATACCAAGCAGCAGAATGTAAGTCAATTTAAAGCTCAAAATACCCCCACCCTAAAATATGATTAATTACATTTGATAACACAACTTACATTTTAAGTACACTAATTAAGGTTTAAAGAGAATAAAGTAGCCTTGTTCATACTAAGTTTGAGATAAATGGCTATTTTAAGACCATCTCTGAACTTCCTAAGCAGTTTGAGAAAATAATTCATGTGATTTTAATGGTCCTGGTGCAGCATAAGGGAGTAGATATGCAGAATGTCTGCACTTCCTTCATGCTATTCATTTTTATGATACATTTTGGAAAAGTAAATGTTCATCTTTCAATTACGTTTACTTGAGTGGACTAACTTAATGAATACTGAGATTTTTCTTTTTTAATATATGAGTCTGATTATTTTTACATGGAGTTATGCTTTTAATACTATTTTCCTCACAATAAAACTCTAAATATTGCTTTTTTTTTCCTTATCTTTTTAGTAAACATTTTTAGCCTACAATGACAGTTTTATTTCTTTTTGACTAATTAGCAGCTCACCCACTAATGGCACAGTACTTGTGCTTTGATTAGTTGTTATCTCAAGGTGTGCTCATTTAGCCTTTCCTGAAACAGTTATGAAGCCATCCTGTGCTTTTACCTGCACAGTTTTATTTAGAGACTGAAGGGGTTAGCTGTAACATTAAAAAATGTAGATAAAATATTTTTTTACTTGCCTAATTTATTAGAAAACTGTTGAAATGCCAAGAATGTTGCTGGTTATTTTTATCTGTGTATTATATTTTCGTGTGTTCAAAGGCATAGATGTGCTAGCAACTGAGGGTAATAGGATACTGCTAAATTCCAGAAGGGGTGGCGAGTCTTTAGAGTTTATGTTAGTAAGGGAAAACTCTTCTTGGATTTTAATTTTATTAATCCATACTGTATATTTTACTGCTGCTTATGTGCATTTTTTAAACCTGAAAGCTAGTATTACAGGCTCTTTGAAACTGTTAAAATTAGGATTGCAGGGATGTGAAGCAACTATGTAATAATTTATGAATAATTTAATAGTAATTTGAAGAGAAACAAGCTGGAAGATGAAAAAGTAGGTTTCTGGGCAATCTCTTGAAGAGAGCTGAGTGACAAATCCTGAGTTATTAACCATTAAGAATCTACTTCCTCTACTCCTGCCACATTACAAATTTCCTTTTGTCAATGCTGAGAATACACAAATCAAAAAATTGCAGATGATGAAAAAGCCTTGTTATCCAGGTGTCAGACAGTTTCTTGGGATCTATTACTGGGGAACAGAACAAAGTGACCTAGGCAAATATGCAGTGTCTGAACATGAGACTTGTGTGAGTTCTCTTACAGGTTGGGAAAATTGCAAGTAGAGATAGAGTGTCATGTATTCATTAATATAAAATCCTGATTTTCATATGCTATGCTCTACTCTTACTCCTACCCTGTTGGGATTGTTAGGGTAAAATCACTTGTAATTCATAGCACTGTGGTAATGCTTACAAATGGGAAAACTGTAAAACTCTGTTCTGTAGTAGGGGTCAAATATACCTAAAGGTTTCCACATGTATTTTATATCCCTGGTCAGAAATTTTATCTGAAAGGAGTTTGAAGACATTTGTCTGGCCTGTGTAGGAATTTCTAAATACTTTTGCAGTAGAAGTACATGTGCTGAAAGTGTGAACCTCCTTGGAAGTTTGATATATGTCGTATAGTAAGCCTGATAAGTTCAGGAAGTGACAGATTTATGGTACACATACCAATCATCAGTGCACTCTATGTGCAGTAGGTCTGCTGCTCCCTCAAAGTATTGGAAAAACCATATAGCATCCACTCACATATTGCTGTCTGTGAAATTCTGGAAGTAAATATGGCAGTCCTAAAAATACAGGAAACCTGAGACACGGCGAGGATGCATATAAAACTGTGGGAAATGTAAAAATATCTTGTGGGAACTCTGTTTCTTATCTGTGGAGCAAGTTGTGCATTTAACATCATGTTTTCTGTACACAAACAAGTGTATCAATTTAACGGATCACCTGCTAAACTGATCCGTTAAATTGATACAACCACCTTGTATGGATGCTTTTTAAACTGATTAAAAGTACCTTATATTGCTAAATCAATATAAAGCTTTTTTAATCCTCTTAAACAAGCTTACAATGATTTGGCCACATCAATCAGCTAGTCTGTCAGCTATAATAATGATTTCTAAGAGTGACATCGCTGCAGTGTATGCAGACTGAGGAAATAAGCAGTCCTAAAAATGAGGACAGTAGCAGTGGTTATGGTACCCAACAATTTCTCATCAGTGCCCGTTGAATACAGACGAAGTTGGCATTGCCCAATATTTTATCTGTAGCAACTTTTAAGAAAACAATTCATTTACATAGTTGGTCAAGTTAACTCTTACTCATGCAAAAGCCTTAATGTACACGTACTTAACATGGCTCCATTTTTGTGCTATAATAATGATCCTGATGTTTATTTACAGAGGGCTACTGTCACCACTAGAATGAATTCATTTCACTGATGTGGAAACAGAGAGTGTGCTGAGTTGTCCCTATGTGAGAAATAGGAAAGATCAAATGTAAGGAGTAGTTCTGAGGAAAAAACTAGTTCTTAAGGTGTTTCAAGGAACGTCATTTAATTGGCTCTGCAGTAGGGTTTACCTAGCAGGTTTAAGGTAGTAAATGCTGATGTCTTTCTCTTTCACTGTTTACGGGTATTTAGGACATTTATGGGGAGAGGTTCTGCCAGCTATTCAGCATTCCAAAAGCAGTGTACTAGGGAGCCAAGATAACAGAATTGCTGAATTGTCAAAAAATTCTGGTATATATGTATTATTTTAAAGATACTTTACAATATGTCAAATAAGACTCTTATTTGTTCTTTGTGTTTTCTAATAATTATTTATATATGTTAACACAGTTGCCAGTTCTAACAGATCATAGTATCATAGAATGGTTTGGGTTGGAAGGGACCTCTAAAGGTCATCTAGTCCAACCCCCCTGCCATGGGCAGGGACAGCTTCAACTAGATCAGGTTGCTCAGAGCCCCGTCCAACCTGACCTGGAATGTTTCCAGGGATGGGGCATCCACCACCTCTCTGGGCAACCTGTGCC